GGGCCACTGGTGTTCGGTCCCATTTGCCCCTGGGGCAGGGACTGGTCGCCAGCAAGTTCCTGTGGGAATGGGACGGGTGACCTCCGTGAGGGTCTCACCGGCCTTTGCCTGTCCCTCCAGGCTTTACCATCATCATTGAGCCTTTTGATGACAGGACCCCCACCATCGCCAACCCCATCCTGCACTTCAGGTGGGACCCTGGGCCTGAGCCGGCATGACAGACAGAGGGCAGGCCCCGCCCTCCCCGCCTGGCCCTCACTGTCCGGGTCTGCTCTCCACAGCTGCATGGACGCCTCCCTGGCCATCAAACCTGTGTTCGAGCGCTTCCAATCTGTCATCATCACCTCTGGGGTGAGGACCCTTCCCTGGCCCCTCCAGTCCTCCACCATGGGGTTCTCGGTCCTTCCTTGGTCTGATGACATCCCTCTTCTATCCCTCCTACAGACACTGTCCCCACTGGACATCTACCCCAAGATCCTGGACTTCCATCCTGTCACCATGGCAACCTTCACAATGACACTGGCCCGGGTCTGTCTGTGCCCCATGGTGAGTGTAGAGGATGGGGTTAGGGGCTGTCTGCCCCTCCTCCGGCAGGAGAGCTGTCCGCTGGGGTGCCCAGGTGGGCTCCGCCTGCTCCTGTGTGTCTGACTCGCAAAGCCTGTTTTCTCCTCTGCACTTCTTGTTTTTTTGGTACCAGGGATTAAACCCAGGCACTTAACCACTGAACCCCCCTTGCCCTTTTTATTTTCCACTTAGAGACAGGATCTCACTGACTTGCTTAGGGCCTTGCTAAAGTTGGAGGCTGGCTTTGAACTTTTGATCCTCCTGCCTCAGCCTCCCAAGCCACTGGGATTACAGGCCTGTGCCACTGTGCCTGGCTCTGATCTGTGAAGTGGAAATGCCTCCTCCCTGATCTCCCAGGGCCACTGACAGGATTCAGAGAGTGTAAAACACGAATGTAGCCCGCATCTCGCTTACGTGGCTTTGCCCAGTTCTTGCCCAGCTGTGACCTGGGTAGGTAAGCCTTCTCTCTGGGTCAATCTCTGTGGTAAATGGACTCAGGTCACAGGCTCTGAAGCCCAGAGTCTGGATATATTTTGGAATTTGGAATTTTCCAGGCTTTAGAAGGTTTTTTTCCTTTTTTGGTGCTGGGATGGAACCCAGGGCCTCGGGCACTCTAGGCAAGCGCTCTGACACTGAGCTGCAGCCCCGCCCTGTAAAAGCTTTTGAAGAGTCACATGAAGGGGGTGAGTTGGCCTCTGAGTGGACTCTGGTCAGTGCAGTTTTTGCCGAATAGTTTTTTGGCTTTTGGAATTGCCCTTCAGGGACTGGGCCCTGTAGTGACCACCAGCTGCATGGTAGCATTGTGAGGACGGCCAGCAGGGGCACTGGTGGCGAGCAGTGTTTTGGAACCAACTAGCCCAGCAGCTGCGGTGGGCTGGACATAGCTGCTGGCTGGAGGCATGGACAGGCTCAGGTCGGTTCTTTTTCTGCTGTGTGACCATGGGCAGGTGACTCACCTTCCCTGAGCTCAGGTCATCTGTAACAGGTAGCATTGCAGCGTCAATACAGGTAGCTAATGGTTCACCTAGTGACACTGGATCTATTAAAAGCTTTGAATTACAGTAACAGGGGGTAAGCACTCATACATTGTGACAGTGGCCGCTGCTTCCTTTATTGTGACCTCTTGCTTTCTCCAGATTATCGGCAGGGGTAATGACCAGGTGGCCATCAGCTCCAAATTTGAGACCCGGGAAGATATTGGTATGCTGCCTGCGGGGCCGGTTTCTGTGGGTTCCGGTGGGATTGTAGTGGACTGTGCACAGGCTCCTAAAGCTGCTCACCCGGAAGTGACGCAGCCACTTTTGCCCTCATTGGCTGTGACAAGTCACAAGGCCACGCCTGCTTCAGGAGGCTGGATCTGGAGAAGGGGGTGGGTGTGTGAGCAGCCCTCAGACAGCCTCGGGGCTGCTGAGAACCCCAAGTTCAGGGTTGGGAGGGGGAGGGGGCTCTGCGCCAGGAGGGGGCCCAACCTCTGACCCTACAGCTGTGATCCGGAACTATGGAAACCTCCTGCTGGAGATGTCCGCCGTGGTCCCTGATGGCATCGTGGCCTTCTTCACCAGCTACCAGTACATGGAGAGCACTGTGGCCTCCTGGTACGAGCAGGTACGCCCAGCCACCCTGCACCCCGTCTGGGAAGCCCCTCTCCTCACTCTTGGTGCTGCCTGGGCGTCCTTCCTGTTTTCAGTGCCGATGTGTCAGGTGACAAGTGGCCTAAAACACAGGAATGTGCATAAAATAAACCCCACACGCCTCTGTGCCCTGCTCCGTCCCCACCAGATTTGGAGCTCAACCCGTGGCAGCCTCTGGGCTCCTGGTGCCCTGGCTTACCCCTGTGACTGTCCCTCCAGCACATAGTGCTCGCTGTGGACATGGGAAGCAAGTGTGGCTCTTGCTGGGTGAAGGTTCTGGAATTAAGGCTGGACCAGGACTCCAGGCAAAGCCTCTGGAGAACCTGCAGACCCTCTGGGAAGTGTGAGGACGGGCTTGGGCATGGTGGGCAGGACTCAGCATGGCCACCCTGGGCCATGGCAGGAGGTGGTGGGAGGGGCACATCCTGCCCGTCTCTGAGCGCCCCTGGCCAGCTCTCAGGGCCCAGAACACTTCTTTGAGGTGAGATGAGTGGACTCACTAGTCCAGGCTTCAGGGAGCGCTGGGGCTGGGGCAGGAGCCTTGTCCCTCAGAGCCACGGCCAGACTCTTTCCACACAGTAGGAAAGATGGCTGGAGCCACTTGTGTGCTATTAAGAAACCTTGCCTACCCAAGGCCTTGAAAATGGGCTCCCATTTCCTCCTGGATGCTCTGCGGCTTTAGCTTCCACACCTGTCTGAGGCAGCCTGCATCGGCTGTGTGGGGTGAAGGTCAGGTTCATTTCCCATTTGAAACCCATTTGCTTCCATATGATTCGTTGAAAAGAGCTGTCCCCACTGAACTGCACAGGTGACCATGGGGCTGGTCTCCGTCTCTGGCTGTGTCTGTCCCTGTGTCCACTACAGTGTGGTGTGTGCACTCGGGGAAGCCTCCACTGGCCCCGGGTGGATTAGTCAGCCCCTGCACCCCCTTGGCTGGGTACCTGTGTCCTGATTGGCCACCATGGGCCATGTGCCTACCCCACTGGGCTCACCACGGTGAAGTTGGACAGTTCTGTCCCTTCCTTCTTGTGTCCCAGACAGGCAGGTTGAGGCCCAGAGACACGGTCCTTTACACAGGAGTCTGAGGCAGGGCTGGGTTTCACCAGGTACGGCCATGGCCATGCCCTGAACCACGGCCAGCCCTGACCGCCTGCTGTCCCCCCTCAGGGCATCCTTGAGAACATCCAGAGGAACAAGCTGCTCTTCATTGAGACCCAGGATGGGGCGGAGACCAGTGTTGCCCTGGAGAAGTATCAGGAGGTGGGTTTGGGATGGGGAGGCTGAGGCAGCGCTGGGTGGGCTCAGGTAGTGGCTCTGAGGGTGACTCAGCTTTCCCTACCCCCCAGGCCTGCGAGAATGGCCGAGGGGCCATCCTGCTCTCAGTGGCCCGGGGCAAAGTGTCTGAGGGAATCGACTTCGGTGAGTGGGCCTGCTTTCCCCTGCCTAGCGCTAGAGCACGTCCTCTACACCTGTCTGCTCCCTCGCGGGACCAGCCACCCACAGCCTGGGCCTGGCGAGGGCCTCAGCCCCCAGCCCCCTGCAGCTCACTCGTGACCTCTCACCCCTGCCCACAGTGCACCACTTCGGGCGGGCAGTCATCATGTTTGGTGTCCCCTATGTCTACACCCAGAGCCGCATTCTGAAGGTGAGCCACGTGAGGGGGGACACAGGTGGTTTGTGGGGTGGCTGGAGGAGGGCACAGGCACTTGGGAAGGGATGGCTCCCCATCCCTCTCCTCCTCACCCCCTGGCCCCAGGCACGGCTGGAATACCTGCGGGACCAGTTCCAGATCCGCGAGAATGACTTCCTCACCTTTGACGCCATGCGCCACGCGGCCCAGTGTGTGGGCCGGGCCATCCGGGGCAAGACGGACTACGGCCTCATGGTCTTCGCCGACAAAGTACGGGCTCAGGGGCCTCTGCACCCCACCCTGGCTTCTGAGCCCCGCTGTTTCCCCATTCGCCATCAGATGGGCAGGGTATGGTGGCAGGGGCAGCGGTGGCCAGGCTTCTCCAGCCTGGGCCTGACACCCTGTCCCCACCCTCCCACGCAAAGCGGTTCGCCAGGGCGGACAAGCGGGGGAAGCTGCCGCGCTGGATCCAGGAGCACCTCACCGACGCCAACCTCAACCTGACCGTCGACGAGGGCGTCCAGGTCGCCAAGTACTTCCTGAGGCAGATGGCGCAGCCTTTCCACCGGGTGAGCCCTGGGCCCTGCTCCCTCCCAGCTGTGCTCCCCCAGCCTGCCGCCTCGTTGCGCCACATGCCAGGCCCTGGGGGAGCTGTGTGACTGCTTCCCTGTGCAGCTGCCTGGGGAGGGCAGATGAGGCCCAGTGCCCTGTCTTCTGGATTTCGTGGACAGCTCCCAGTTCAAAATTCTGTCCCTTAGCCCTCCTGTCCCCACTGCCTCTGGAGTCCTGGTCCCCTGCAGTGGCGCTGCAGCAGCTTCCTCAGGCCCTGGCCAACTTCCCTCTGATCCCTGCAGGAGGATCAGCTGGGGCTGTCCCTGCTCAGCCTGGAGCAGCTGGAGTCGGAGGAGACGCTGCGGAGGATCGAGCAGATCGCCCAGCAGATGTGAGCGGGGCAGGCTCATCAGAGCAGTGTGAGGTGACACCCTCGTCTTGCCTGGCCCTGTCCCAGCAGCACAGAGGACCCCTCAGGTGGACATTCCAAATCTATAGCCTTTAATTACAGGGGAGAAGGCAGCACTGATGTCCGACCCACTGGCCCCCCGCCTCCCAGGCAGGGGAGCCAAGGACATGGGTGGCACCCCCCATTCTGGAGAAGCTGCATGGTCCCATCCGTGTTAGCGGGGGCTCATGTCCTGGATACTGGCGCTGAGGGTCCGAGGGAGCTCACTCAAGGGCCGACTGCGGAGCTGGGGACAGACACAGGGAGCGGTGGGTGACGGGCAAGCAGATCTCTTGCTCCAGTTGTCACTGTGCCCGTCCCCTTGCCTCTACCCCAGGTACACCCTCCCTTCTGTCCTGGGCTCTGCTCCACCCCCACCTGTCAGCCCCTGCCTCTCTGAGCCTGCCACGGTGGCTCTGCTCCATCCTTGACAGGTGTCCTTCTCACCTGAGCCCCCGGAGCTCTGACATTCTCTGTATTCAGCACATTTAGGGACATGGCTCTCTTCATCCTGCAGAGAATGGGTCAGAGAAGGACAGGTGAATGTCCAGGCCCCTCTAGGAAGGTCCTCTCCAGGACTAGGTTAGATCTGTGTCACAGGGCAGATGGGAGCCATGGAAAGCTCTTGAGCAGGACTGGGGGAGGGTGCTGCAGGTGCCACCACCATCAGGGCTTGGCCACCCGAGCCGGCACTCACCCTGCTGCCCCTGCCAAGCCCTCCCCTCGGAGGCGGGACACCAGCTTCTCACTTCCCCGCCGGAGAGACTCACGGAGCTTAGAGAATGAGCTGCTCCTTCGAAGAGCCTGAAGAGGAGCCAGGGACAGTGACTGACCCCCACCTGGCCCATCCAGTCCCCATCCCCCCTCAGGAACCAAAGCAGGGCCTCCTCACCTGTTGCTCTGCTTCACCAGCTGTGCCTGTGTTAGGAGCTCCTGGGGGACAGAGGGGATGTTGAGAGGGGCACCGAGGAGCCCTTGGGAGGGAGGAGGGCAGACGGGCTCACCCAAAGTTGGTGGCAGGCCCTCCCTGCGGAGGATCTCCCTGTACAGCTCCTCTGCCTGCTCGTACTTGTTCTGCTTCAGGTAGGCGGAGGCCTGCAGGGAGGGCAGGGCAGGGGGACCTTGGCTGTAATCTGGGGACTTCTTAGGACCCCCAGCCCATCTTAAGTGCAAGCCTGGCCACACTGCCTCCTGGGGCCTGCCCAGAGGGCATCTGCTGCTGCAACAGACGGGCCCCGCCCTGCCTTGGCCATGTAGGGGGTGACGGTAGCCCTGTTGTAACGAGCTAAGAAGGGGCTGCCCACGGTGGGTGCAATAAAGATGTGACGTTGGCATCTGGTCCTGCCAGTGGCCTCTTTGCTGGAACCGTTCTCTGGCCATAAACTGGTGCACTTCCTGATGCTGAGGGGACCTTTCCCTCAGGGCCCTCACCTCATCCCCTGGAGCTTCTGTCGTACCTGCCTGCAGCCCCATAGCCCCCTGCCCCCTGCAGCGCCTCACCAGGTTGTTCTTGGTCTTGGCCACATTGGGGTCGTGGGGGCCACCCAGGGCCTCGTAGATGCTCAGGGCGCGGGCGTAGTGCCGCTCCACGTCCTCGAACTTGCCCTGGTTCTGGCAGAGCAGGGCCAGGTTGTTGAGCTGCTTGGCCACGTCTGGGTGGTCGGCGCCCAGGACCTGGGGGTCACGAGCCACTGGAATCACGGGGTTGGTGGGCCCCATGATGGCACTGCCATGCCGGGAGACAGGAGGTGGGGATTACAGAAAGAGGAGGAGGGGCAGAGGCTGCGGTGCTCCAGACACTGGTGGCATACAGGGGTAGACCGCCAACCAGGGGGGTCAGAGGGCAGGGCTGAGAGGGGGCGTGTGAGGTCACGGGCAGCAGAGTCCAGATGAAACTAGAAGGTTGGGGGCAGGCCATGCGGTGGGCGATCTAGGCCCACACAGGGGCCCAAGAGACGGAGGATCAAAGGGAAGAGCACCAAGTCACAGCCTCAGAGGACAAGGGGTCGTCTGGGATTGGGTAGGGGACCTTCTCACGGATCTCCAGGGCACGCTGGCACAGGGGCTCTGCCTCCCGGTAACGCCCACGTTTCCCGTAGAGGACAGCCAGGTTGTTGAGGGTGGCGGCCACCTGCAGGGGGGGTGCAGGTTGGAGGGGGCGGGCACTGCAGCCTCCCTCCCGTCCCTGCGGGTGGGGGCCCACTCACTGCAGGGTGTTCAGGACCCAGTGTCTGCTCCCGGATCTGCAGGGCGTCATGGAGAAGGTCTGTCGCCTCCTTGTACTTGTTCTGGTCCCTGTGAGGCAGTCACAGGGGTGGCGGGGACAGCCAAGCTTGGGCTACTACGGCTGGGCTGGTCCAGACAGGTCCTGGGACCTGGCTGAGCCAGGCGTGGGTGGCACCCTCCAGGTGTCCCTTCAGGCCTCCCCAAACCTCCTGAGTCTCCGGGAGTGTCCCCGTACCACCAGGTCTCTGCCAAGCCTCTGGCCACCCCTCTCTTCCCCACCTGGGGTTGGGGCCCTTGCTGACTTCTGGGTCCCAGCCACTCCCGAGATCTCTGCCTTCCTCTTTGTTTTCCTGTCCTCTTCTGCCCTGTCCCCGTCCCTGTCTACCCTGGTGCTCCATGTTGAGGGGATGCCAGGTCCTTCACCCAACAACAGGCCCTGCCAGTGCAGCCCTCACCGGTACACCAGGGCCAGAATGTTGAGCATGGTGGCCACATCAGGGTGGCAGTGGCCTGAGCTCCGCTCCAGGTCCTCCAAGGCCTGGCGGCACAGAGGCACAGCGACCTCGTAGCGGCCCTGGCCCGCATACTGGATCACCAGGTTGTGCAGGGTCCGAAGGCGGGCAGGGATCTCGTATCCGCCCTGCTGGGCTGCCGCGGCCCCTGCTGCTTCAGGACCTGGGGGAGGCAGGCACTGAGTCACCTCAGGCGCCACGGACACCTTGCAACTGCCGAGGCTGGGTCCCCACACTGACCTCTGAGCTGGGGAACACAGGCATCCAGCCAGCTGGTGGGATGTGTCCTGGCCTGGGGCAGGAACGGTGCCCACCTGGCCTGTGAGGTGTGTGGGGAGCTGCCTGGTTCACAGCTCCGGGCCTCACCTGCCGGTCATCCCCGCTAATGCCAGCCACCTGTCCCATCCTCCTCCTGACTCTGCCCTCCCCTCCCCCTCCCTCACCAGAGAACTTGGGGTCCCTCCCAGCCTGGCCTGTGGTCCTGCCTGGCTGTGCTCCCACGTCACACGCGGCCCTCACACCCACCTCTCCTCTCCTCCTCACTGGGGAACAGGGAGGCCAGGCTGTCTCGGCGAGGGGGGGACTCGGGGCGCTACAGGGAGGACAGGAAAGCGAGAGCCATGAGAACTGGGGCTAAACACAGCCTGGGTCCTGAGTCCCTCGTGGGGTTTGAGGAGTGCTGATCAGAAGCCTTAGGGCTCTCCTGGGGGTCGAGGAGGATGGGGGGCTTTGTGAGCAGCTGGCGGGGGCTTTCTGGCAAATGCTGGGAGTCTGAGGGGTCTACAGGTGCTGGGGCGGGGCGGAGCCTCAGGAGCTCTGGGAGGGCAGTGTCCCCGCCGCGTCCTGCCCAGCACCTGGCTCTCCTCGGGCGGGTCGTACTGCCGCAGCTGCCCCAGGAACTCAAGGTGGTGCTTCTCCTCCTCCAGCTGCGCCACGGCCTCCTCGCTGGCCCGCAGCCGCCGCTGCGTCTCCTCCAGCTCCTCGCGCAGCCAGACGTTCTCCTGCGCCAGCCTCCGGGCCTGCGCCCGCAGCCGCTGCTTCTCCGCCTCCAGCACACCCACGTGCGCCGAGAGGGCCAGCAGCACCTGCGAGGGGCGGTCAGGAGCTGAGCTGGGGGCTGCCCTGGCCTCTCACAGCCCTGGCCCGGCGTCCCACAGGGGCCCTGCAGATTCCGCAGACTGCGGTGATGCTGAGGCTCGGGGACCCCTCTGACTTCACCCAGGAGGCAGATCTCAGGACCACTTCATGTTTCCCCCTGTAACCCAAAGTCTCCCGAGACCCTCAGCTCCACCAGAGGGTGCCGTCTGGCTCAGGGCATCGTGATGCTGCCTGGGGACTCCACTTGTGGCCTGAAGCCTGCCCTCCCGGCTGCTGTCCCCGTGCCTCCCACCTCCCTCCTGCTTCCCTGCACACCTGGTCTAAGCCCCAGGCCTGAGCGCCCCCACCAGGCCCCTCATACCTGGGCTTCGCCTAGCCCCAGCTCGATGGCCTCCAGGGAGTGGCCCACCACCTGCTGCTTCTCCTCCAGCAGCTCCAAGCCAGGCGCAGGACCATGTGCTGCCAGGGCCTCCGCCAGGTGCCCAGCCAGGCTGCGGTGCTCTGCCCGCAGGGCCTCCAGCCCCTGCACCACCTGCCGCGTCTGCCGCACCAGCTCCTCGGGGTTCAGGCGCTCTGAGCCCAGCCCCATGCTCCCAGGGGGCACCACCTGCACCGACATGGCTGCTCCTGGGGGTGGCAGCGGAGGTGGGGTGTCACTGCCAAGGCAGGCCAGTCCCCAGCTCCCACACTAGGATGGCCAGTCGGACCCCAACCTCTCCGCATCCCCGCTCTCCTCTGCCCACCCACCCGGCCAGTCTCTGCCTCCGAGCCCTCTCCATCCCAGCCAAACCAGCTCTGCATCCGCCCCAGCCAGCCCTCACTGGGAACATTCTAGTCTACCTCTGTCTGTCTTCTGAAGCCAGGGCTCTGCCCTGAGGACAATTCCAAAATTTTACTGTATGTAATTAACCAAGAGGGCACTCAGCTGGCTCTTGATCCCCCCCACCTGCACTCAGCTCGCGGGGCTGGCCCTTCCCTCTCCAAGGTCCCTAGCACCCTGCCCAGAGCTCCCAGCCGGCAGTGTGCCCTGGGACCAGAGGCACCTCCTCTGCTGGGCGTGGGGGGCGGGGCACGTGGAGGCGGCAGCTCCCTGTGAGCTCATTCTCAGGGTGTTTTTGTTGGGAACCAGTCAGGCCACTGAAGGTGGGTGGGGCCGGAGGCCAGGGCGAGGGGCTGGGGCACCAGAAGCAGAGAAGCCTCTAAGTTGGGGAGAGAAGGAGGGGGCCGGCATGGTGGCTCCTGGTCTTGATGGACCCTGAGGGAACAGGGGCTCCACCTTCCACCACAGACAGGCTCAGCCAGCCCAGAGCCTGTTGGAACATGCGCATGGCACAGGTGTGGCCCATGGATGTCACTGTCCGTGTGACAGTAGAGGTCTAAAGCCTCCTAATGAGTTGAGGTCCCACATGGGGATTTTGTGTGGTTTTATGTGAGTGACCAGGTCCAGTGCTTAGCTTTTGGTGCCTCCGGGGTCCGGGCAGACAACAGTCCTCAAACCCGCCTCCATTTATGATGGCTTTATCAGAATGTGTGGCCACCAGAGGCGCAGGAGCATCTACTACACACATGTCCTCCCGAGGTTTTCTTTTGGTGCTGGGAGTTGAACCCAGGGGTGATTTACCACTGAACCCCAGCCATTTTTATTTTGAGACAGGGTCTCATTAAATTATCCAGGCTGGCCTCCACTTGTAATCCTCCTGCCTCAGCCTCCCTAGTGGATAGGACTAGAGGTGTGGCCACCACACCAGATGCCTCCTGAGTTCTTAAAGACACAGTGCAACACACACATTCTCCCCTCAGAAACACAACTCAACACACCCACACTCACACACTCCCTTGTTTCAAACAACACAACACACACATACCCTCTCTTAACATACACACCCTCATTAGAAATACAGTACACATTCTTATCTTAGAAACACAACACACACTTTCTCCTCTTAAAAATACAGCTCAAGCTGGGTGTAACGGCACACTTGTAATCCCAGTGGCACGGGAGGCAGAGGTAGGAGCATCGCAAGTTTGAGACCAGCATGAGCAACTTAGCGAGACCCTGTCTCAAAATAAAAGAAATTATAAAGGGCTGGGTATGTGGCCAGTAGTAGAGCGCCCCTGGGTTCCACGTCCAATGCCACAAAATACAGCTCAACTCAAAAACTCATATGCATCCACATTCTTCTTGCAGAAATATGACCTAATGCAACCTGTGAAATCAGGTACATGCAGGTACATCTCCCACACCCATGCCCGCTGCCCACCGGAAACACCACACAGACACCTCTGCTTTGCTCTGTCGACTCCCGACTCCCCTGCCCCTCACCTCCAATAATCCAACCAAATCCCCAAGAGTTCACAAATTGTGTCCCTGCACTCATCCATGACACTCACTTTCTCACACACACAGTCCCCAAGCGGCCACCTCCTCCTTATGTACTTGAAGCCCCTCCAAACACACTCCAAGAATCTGTTGGGGACCCCTCCTCGTGTCCCCCACTCCTCTAAGTCCCTCCACCTCCACCCTGTGTCCAGCAGAACTCACACACAGGCACCCAGATACCTAGACACACAGATGGCCCCAAACTCAGTCTCAGTTACTCTGCGGGCCATGGGTGCCCACAGTGTGGGGTGCCCTACAGGTCGGGCAGCTCCCTGTCTCCCTGCACACTGCCCGGGCTCTGTCCACCAGAAGCAGCCCTGAGCTCCCCGCACCTGCTGGCTGGACCATGGTCACATATGCTAAGAGTGTCCCGTGCACTTCACACGCCACAGAGTCCAATGGCCACCAAACTCTCCTATAGCTATACATTTGTATATAGGAATGTCCCCCCATGATCGATGGCACAGCGTCCTCATAAACCCATTGTAAACTGAAAATATCACAAGCTGAAAATGGATTTAGTGTAGCTGCCTCCTGGACATCTGAGCCGACAACATAGCACTGCAGAGCACTGGTCAGCTCCTCTGTGACCACTGGCCAACTGGCCACTGCCGCTGCCCAGCATCACAAGAGAGGATGGCACGGTGTAGTGCTAGCCCAGGAAGGAAAAAATCAAAATTCACAACTCAGAGTTTGAAGAACAGTTTCTCCTGAACACAAATCACTTTCACAGATTGTAAGTGGATTTCTCCTCATCAGTGTAGGTCAGGTACCATCTCCAGTTTCTGTGGGGGCTGTAGGTTTGTGTAACACACCCTGCTCTCTCACCCTGCGCACACAAGCCACATAGATGGTCACATTCACAGTCACACAAATCCATCAAGGGCCAGCCTGACAACCACAAGCACATAAAGTATTCACCCAGTTTTGTTAATGTAACAATCGGCGCCCCCACACACACCACCCGCAATCAGACCCGGCCTCCCGCATGCCACCCCAGGCCAGGGCACCACAGCCCGGCCACAGCCCTGCTGCAGCTGGGCCACAGCCACCCATCACTCAGGCTGTCACCGAGACAAACACCAGCCCCTGCGTGCGCTCATATAGAGCCTCATGGGCTCCGCCAGCAGAGTAGTAATCACAGGCACAGCCCACACATGGCTCTCCTCTTCCATCCTGTCATCCAGGCACAGGACAATCCCAACCACACATCACTCCCCACAGAGAGGACTCCACGCTCGCTGGTGCCAGTCCACAGCAACTGTGGAGAACACACACACACACACACACACACACGCACACTCTCACTGGCTTCCTCTCCATACACACCTCACTCTCCCAGCCCCATGGCTCCACACTTGGTAACCCAGGCAAGAGCCCAGCCTCGGGGCAGTCACCCACAACTCCGGGACACCAGCACTGTGACACAACTCAGAAGTCAACCTCAGTCCCCTATGCACACACACTCCATCCTACAGGCAGAAGGACAAGGGCCGCCACACAACACCGGTATCTAATCTTACAGCTGCCAGCAGAAAGTCACCGACAGCCACATGATCTCTGGGTTGCACACACGAAGTCCTGTTACCAGCCCGACTCCCAACACACACGCGCACACACACGCACACACGCACACCCCCCTCCATCACAGACACAACCAGAGGTCACATCACAGAAAAGTTCCCGGTCCCGGGGTCATGCGGCCGCCCATCTCCCCTCCACACTCACACCCCGCACACTCGCGCGCGCACCGAGTCGCTCGGGCCTCACGCGCCGGCGCAGCAGGACCCCAGCGCGGCCCCCAGCCCCTCACCTTACCTCTGGCGGCGGTGGCCTCGCGCAGGTCACCAGGGTCCCCTCCCTCCGCCAGGCCCCGCCCCATCCTCGCCCTGTTTACCTGCGCGGGGGAGGATGTCGCGCGGCGGGGCCTCCGGACCCGGGAGCCCCAGGTCCGGCGGCGGCGTCCAGGGGCCGCGGTCCGTCGGGCCCACAGGCGCGCGGCCCAGGGTGCGCGCCAGGCCCCGCCGCGCCCCCCGCGCCCCATCACCGCGGCGC